CTGTAAGCTGCACTGCACATAATCCAGATAATAATACAGAGTCCATGAATGGTTGGGACATCTCTTTATGTTAAATTGCAGGTAGGTTTGGGTGTAGTCCTGAAAATATGGGAAAGATGCCTAAGATATATATATATAAGCATTATAGGTTGAAACTTCCAAGAATGAAAGTGATTGGTTCTCCAAGGAGGCATGAAGGTCTCTGAGGGGACTTAGCCCTAAACTGGACAGTTTCCGAAGGATATCGCCTTATTCAGCAGAGTAGGCTAGCGCAACGAAACGAGACAGTTACGGGCACTGTACATAGGCCAGCATCAAGTTGATGCATCCGCCACGTGCATGGAGGTCGCGATAGCATATACCCTTGCCATCTACATTTGCACCCAATTTTTACGTCGAATCGACGCATCTGTACCACACGGAAAACAGCAGGTCTCAAACGTAAACAAGTTTTAGGATCGCTGAGTTAAGACAAAACTGCTTGGCTTAACACGACCTAGGTCGCAGCCCTTACGGGTCTACCTTAGGATACCAAGTTCATAGGGGCCTGACCTCTAGCCGAACTACGCCTATACAAGCAAGAATATGAATTTGGCCTTGCCAAAGTCGTATAAGACAGTAAAACACACACAGTCGTTTCAAGGCTCCCTCCATTCTCTCCAATCCCAAGATGGCGGACGGATTGGACCGTCCGCCCCTGCCCCATGCCCCTCCAGGTATATACACTCTATGGTGGGAACCGAAGACGTGAATCATCGTATTCTTGAGTTAACCGAGTCTGCAGAGGGTAGTTATATTGATGGGTGATTCAATACGAACTCAACCAATATGGCGTCCGACCATCCAGCATTTAGGGATAATAAAAAAAACTTTAAGCGATTGCAGTCAATCTAATATCCCAGGAAAAGAGAACCGCCTCCATCAGATCCGTGGTTAGCGCGATTTGCCCCGAAATTTGGGGGGAAAAGGCAAAACCCATTGACGACAAAATTTCCATCTCAGAAACGGCTCATCGCATTGAGTCAAGCAATAGCTTCAACCGGAGGTCTTTAATAGCTTAACAATTCGCTCTATACATCATTGCGGTTTGAATGAGATTTCAGCATCACAGTTGAGTTTGAAAATGGCAACTTTTAGGCAATTTTCAACCCAAAAGTATCCGCTAAAAACTTGAAGATTCTAAAAACTCACTTTTTCTTAAAATGGCCGAATATTTTCGCGTGATGAATCGCTAGAAAATGTTTAAATAGAGCTGTTAGCGCTCTATGCGATGCTTTTGGCTCAACTTGTTGGTATGCTGATTTTCTGGTGTCGCGGAATAACATCGAAAAGAATTAGCATCGACACGGAACTGCTTCGACACCTACGAACGACGGAATGACTTCGACAGGAACAACGTCGACACAGAAGTATCTCGACACGAGAAAATCCTGTCGAGGTAATTGTAATTCCGTGTCGGCGCTGTTACTTTCGATGTTGTTCCGTGTCGGTATAAATCCGAAAGTCCTCTGTCGAAGCAGATCTGTTTCGGTCTATTTCTGTCGACGTATTTCCGTGTCGATGCCATTCTGTGCCATAGCATTTTTTGTCGAACTAATTCTGTGTCGATTTCATTCCTATCAGGAATGGCAGTGGTTCATGTGGTGCTGCAAAGATGTTCCACGAAGCCACTTTCAATTAATACGATAGATAACTAAGGACTACCTTTAAGGATTAAGGAGGGGAGCTAATTCTGATCCTCTCCACCTCCACAAAATAGGAGTGAAAGCGGATAGGAGGGAGATAAAATATTTAAAAAATCTTACATAACCCCAGAGTCGTTGTTATTTGAGAACAAGTTCCAAGAAACGCAATCATCTCATCCTGCAGCACGGCCGCAATCAACATATTTCATGCGTGGGATTGGCCATACAATTTCAAGAAATGCGCTGAGTTGGATTTGTTTTGTTTTTTTTCTTACATGAAACTTCGGTGTGAAATTAATCATAATCATAGACATGAATAAAAAACAATTATAAAGAAAAGGTCGTCGCTCCTTGAAATCGGATTCTTGAGTACGGAAAAATCGCTCTATTATATCCCGTAACGTGAGTAATTTTTTTTATGGGTAGAGGCAATTCCTGATGTGTCGAACTTCGGACAACTCGAAACGATTCGCCCGGTCCCAAAAAGTTAGAGATAACGAGTTTTTACTGAATGAGCGTTTTTTCTGTGGGCGCCTCGTCCGAGCACCTTATTTACCTCGATTAGACTGGGGGCCGGATGGAAATCTTCAGGGGTGATTAGGGGCAACAACAAAAATGCAACACCTTATCTTTAATGCAAACAGGCTGAAATTTGCAGTTCGTTTCCGTAACCAACTGTTGGGCTTCGCGGGTCGGACAAAATGGACTGGCAGTTTGACACCCCTGGTATAGAGGATCATGTGAGCAAATCTTTAAACAATGTTTGAAATGAGCTCCCGACAACTCTTGATTGGTATCTTCTTTTCCTCTTCGTGCTCCCTGTGGAGCACGAAGGGATTGTTATATTCAAATGTATCCACAAACGGATAAATACAGTGGATAAGGCTGTCCAGTAAATCCAGCTTCCAGAAAGAGTTTGACGCAACGCAGACCCATTACTTCTGTGACACTATCCACTAACACTATTCCAGCGCATTTTGGCAGCACCTACACTACCTTCAGCTTTCCAACGATCCTATTCCTCAGATCATAACCTCTACACTGCACACGTGCCCACTTCTCGAGGGCTTGTGCGTTCTGAAATGGGAATGCACGTGAACCCTTTCTCATCCTCTCCCGGGCCCGAATCTCCTGACTTCCCATTAGAAAATAATGCCAGCAATCGCTCTTCAGAATGGGGATCCGAATCTTGAGATCTCTTCTGTCACGTTGAGGAAACGCAACAGTCCACCCCACTGCCACCAGGGTCTGCAACACTCTTACGTGACATCTGCACGACTTGGATTCTGCCCTCATCCCTTGCGGCCAAACGAAGTATGCTGTATGCTTCAGTCATACTTGTGCAAGACGGTAGATGTCCACAGTGTAGACAAGTAATTTGTGATTTTTTCAGAATTTTTTTAAAGGAATCATACCGTTCTCTCTCACTCTTTCTTATAAGCTATCAATTAATTGAACTTGTTTTCATAACTATTCCATTGTGTCCCCAACAAATTCTCGATCATGAATTTTGTGCAGTCGACTGTGCATTTGCCAAATCTTTTCCTGCATTCTGCATAAGATACAGTGTTTTTCACTTGAGTTAGACATTTTTTCACTTGACTTCGACAACGGTGCATGGTGAGGGTGATATAGCGGATCGACGCAGAAACTAGGAGTTCCATTCTTAAGTGCAGATGTCGTGATGACATCGGCGACAACGATGATGATTAATTTCCTGCTGAAGAGAGGAAAACCAATGTGAACCTTCCCTAATACACAATATATTGAAATGATAATTTAATGTCGTAGTGAAAAACTAGGCTTTCGTGTCACCCATTACTGTTTTCCATAATATTTCAATAAAACAGATGAAGTTTTGGGCATCGTTCCTGGGTTCTGAAGTATCATTCCCCACGCCGAACTCACGTAGGCTGGATTAGGCCTGTCTAACGTGGATCTGGGAATGCCCATCGAAGTCCGATCCAGTGTTTCTACAACGTTGAGCTGATGGGAAATTGAAAACTTAGAACCTTTTTATCTAAATAGACTGCAATGAAGGTCTCCCGTTGACAACATGGCTATGCATGCGGTTCATCGTTTCCAGTACATAGTCATATGAAAAAGCCTAAATATTCGAAGGAAAGAAAGATGTCGCTAGTCACCAGGGGCACCTGCTCCCTCGCCTCCTCTCTGAATACCCCTCGCATCAGTGTCTTAGTCAAGTGAAAAATTGTCTAACTGAAGTGAAAAACACTGTAGAATGAAGCATCGCTAGTCACCTAGGCCTCACATATTTTGCCCAAAACATGCGCGACATCTACGTGACGCTATCGCCACCTCCACCTATGCTAGTTTGTCGGTGTTATTCTTTGTCGACGTAATTCCTGTCTTGAATATTTCTTTTCGATGCAAATCCGGGTATGCTCCTGTCGAACTAATTCCGTGTCGGCGTACTTCTGTCGGTATTATTCCGAGTAGCAATTTTGTCGAGGTAATTCCGTTCGATGCTGCTCCGTGTCGATACATTTCCAGTTCGATGTTGTTCTGTGTCTACTTATTTCTTGTCGATGTTATTCTGTGTCGGCGTTATTCCGTTTCGGCACTATTCTTTTCGGTGTTATTCTTACCCACCAAATCTTTCAAACTCCAATGATGTACGGAGCGAATTGTTCAGCTATTAAAGACCTCCGGTTGAAGCTATTGCACTCCGTGGATGATGAAAAGTTCCTGGGATGGAAATTTAGCCGTCCACGGGGGTGTTCGGTTTCCCCCCAATGTTCTGGGGGTGACATCTCGTAAACCGCAGATGCTATTTTTTTCTGGGATGTTAGATTGACTGTAATCGCTTGGCATTTTTATCCCTAAATCCGAAATGGTCGAGCGCACTGTTTGGTTGAATTCGCATGGAATGACCTTGATGTAACGTTCGTCCGTGTATTTGTACAGGAATTAATTTAAAGTTATCAATAAATTTGTCTTATTGTAGTCCGAGTTTAAATGGGGGGGGGGGGAAATGCATTTCCCCAATGAGAATTTCAAAGGGAAACGCAGTAACTTTGAGTTATCGAGAGTTGACTGTACCTTTGTCCCCTCTGTAATATTCTACAGGTTTCACCAGTCATGCAGGAAAGGTATGCTTAGCTCCAGTTTCTTACATCAGATCACTAATAAGACTGAAGATATCAAGTTATAAAACAAGCCAAGCCATATAATCTGCCAAATCTAATTAGCTCTGTCATGTAGATGGGATATTACCAAGAATGAGTTTACAACTTCCCATAGGATGCATGGGTTACTGAATGCTTCTAAGCAAATCAGAAAGATGCCTTGAGATACAACTCAGCATGGCAATACTTTATTCAATGTTTCAGGGTGATATGAACCTCTTGAAGCTTCTACACAGACAGCTGGACTGCAGGCCAGATATTACAAAGCAAATGCTTGGGCCAGCCCTGGTGTCTATATACATGTATCACTGAGGGCATAAAGGGACTTGTGGGCTTGAGGTCACTAGTTCGATTCATCTTGATTCCCTGACTCACTCATCCTGACAAAACGTACACATGAACACCCAAAGAACTTGGCCTGTACAAGAATGGCATAGCAAGGAAAGGCACATAGACAAGGAAGTGATTAGATGAGCCTTGAGGCCACCAACAGGAGTTGAGAAGAGTCCAAGAGTCTTTTATCACATGAACTCCAATCATTCATGAAAGGGAAATTGCATTTCGGGAAAAACAAAGCATCACATGTTTTGAGGATCTTGTCTTGGCATAAGAAAAAGTGAAGATGGATAACTCAGCGAGTCCAAGAAAGTTAGATGCTTGATTCCATGATGTGGATGTGGAGTCCCATGATGACTGGGAATTTTCCCATTAGACACCTCCCAATTAGGAAAGATCTGTGTGGAGAGCAAATCAAATAACAAATGAGCAAACAGGGATATCTATGTTACTTCTTAGGTCTGAAGTGATGTTACAGGAATTGTGATGATATAGCACAAAACAGATTTGTTTGTTTAAAGGAAAAGGATTAATGCAAACTCCAAGCAAATAGAATGAGCTGAGGATTGGCAGGCTGACTTCATGAGAACTGGAACTGTAATACTCCAAAGTAAGATCCAGTTGTTAAATTGTAGAATAACTTAGTATTTGGTCAGTGGCAGAAATAGCTGAGTGGTAAATTGTGTTTCTGTGCAAATAATATCAAACCAACTAGTTATTCTCAGTAGATAGCAACAATATTTGGGTTCATTGGCAGTATATAATGTACAATGGTAGTTGTATGAGCCATAGGCCTCTTAAATAAATAGTAATTTATATCTCCATTTATTTCACATAGCATTTGAAATGAACTACAGCAAGTTTTCTCCAACACGAACAAAGTTTGTAGCAGGGGAATAAAACTAAGTAATTTCAGTTCAGTTCTGGCTTATTACTCTCAGCATTGTTCATACACAGTTCCAATTAGGCCTGATTAAAAGTGCTTCAGTTGTTTGGCTTCCTCCAAAGATAATTTTTAAAATTTAAATTGAGTAAAGGAAACAGCTGTCATTTCTTGCTAGCAGCATTTGCTCAATTCATATCTGAAGAATCAATTATCCCAAAGAAAAATGAAATTTTCTTGATCAGATGTGAGGTGATTATATTAACGCCAGAAAAGGTACTTCACTCAGAACAGAAGGCATCTCCATTTTTTCCAGCCACTTCTCTCGCACTCAGTGCAAGTCTTTCAGCCTCTTTATCAACATATACTAACATAGTTGCTTCATGAGACTGCATATCTTTTTAAATCTAGAACAAATAGGAGATAAAGAGTATGAGGTACACTGAAAATACTTCAATTGCATAAGCAAATTATTTACAGCTGACCAGATGGCAAGATAAGGTTGAAGAGTATGCCTTTTTTGTCTTCTATAGGACCCAGCCAATTGCCAACAATGATGTACTATCCACTCTGCAGTATTGATGTGTCCTACCTCACCCCTACCCTCAAGACTGATGTTTTTTTTGTAACTAGCACCAGAGTAACATTTCTCCTCTCAAAAGCTGGCTACTACTAAGTAAATTTACACACAATCAGCATTCAATGCCTTTCAAGATTAGCTGGTTTCAAAAAATGCCAAAATTTGATCATCTACATCTGACATATGAAAAGGGTAGCTATTGTTAATGCAACATACAAGAAGTTTGACTGGAAGAGATCAATCCTAAAGCCAAGCAAATAAACAGAATCCCAAGACTCACTTGGGAGCTAAACAAAAGTGGCTTAACTCTTGTGCTATATAAGGCCATTGTTCTTGTGAACCAGTTAAATAATGCAAAATATGGATGCTCACAACTAGGAGGTGCTGAAGACTGGAATCGGCGATGAAGCTGATCAGATGAGAAATGAACAAAAGCTTCATACTGCTCAGCCAGTTTGGCACTCAGGACACGATCATACTCTTGTCTGATCTGGATCTCTCGCTCCTTCAACAGTCGCTCACAAATCATCCCCACCTATTGAAGAAATATTTCCTTATCATACATTTATTCCTCAGACCTATTGAAAAGGGAATCCAGAGCAGTATAGGCTGACTTGTCGCAAGGTGAACAGAGGCTTATCCTTGGATCCAGGAGATAAGGCCATGGAGTAGTAAGGTTGATGGAGAGCAGCCACTATGGCAGCAGAAGATGATGGTGAAAGTGGGGGAGAAGGGGAGTCATAGCCCATATGGGTAGGGCTATTGCTTCCACTTCCACTGCCATGATGAGGAGGTGAGGAACCCATATCCATTTGCTCTCCTGCTGATAGCTGACCCCGTCGGCTGAGCCTCCTGATTTCATCTCGAAGGTTTGAAGCAATCATATCTATGGAAATAAACATCAAATCAGAATCTTGAGAGTTGTAAGGCATAATGTAGAATCTAAAATGTTCCTTTGCTATATGATTTCAATTATGGAAAAGCATTTTGATTGGGGTAAAAGCATAACAGTTGAAAAAAAAAAGTATAGAGAAGAAACATGTAATTTCCTTCAACAATACTAAAGAACAAACCCGGCGTCAATTTAGGCAGGATTTCCCCAAAGTGGGAAGAAGATGAAGCGTTGGATTCTTCCTGATTGGATGATGAAGAGGATGAAGGTGCTGAGGTAGGCACATGACCAGGTGTACATCTCCTTCGCTTTGGTGCTGGAGAGAGCCCAGGTGGGCTATGGACTGGATCAAATTCCAGTGAACGCTTTAGGCCCAGTGTGACACATGCCATATTTGAATCACTTGGGAAATTTCTCTCAATTGATATCAGTCCCAAAATGCATATGAAACACTCAGCCCTATATCAATGCAAGCACCACATGTCCAACTTCCAAGTTTTCCTTTGAATGGCTCACTCCCCTTGGCAAATAATACTTTTCAGATACCAAGGGCTAGAAATACCTAAATCAGAAAAAAAAAACTAAACACGAATCTAGTCAGAATAAGACAAGCATTAACAGTACCATGCATGCATAGTTGAGAATTCCTTATCTACTATCAAATTTATGATAGCCCAAATACTGAATTAAGGACTATCGACTATTCATATACTTAATAGGACTTCAGATCAGAATGATTAGAGATTGAGAATGCTGATGCCCGGTTTCATATTCCCACCACGAAACAAAAGCTGGGGATAGGGTTGCGGCGGCTTTACCTGTGCCTGGCTGAAGGGGGAGGGAAGGGGGGGTGCCACTCGTTGGGCCTAACCCTAGGCCTAGCCAAATGTAGTCTAGGTCTAGGCTTCCCATCTGTGACTCCAGTTTCATGCTTACCCTAGGGCCAGGGAAGGAAATTCAGTCGCAAATTAAAAGAATCTAGCTTGGGCGTAACTTCAATGCTATAGGTGCGTTGAGCCGTTAAGGGTTCTCATTGATTCCTAGTTCTTACGAATAGATACGTTTGGGCTAAGAGTAGGAAATTGCCTGAACTAATGAAGCTCGGCACAAGGAAGAAACGTCACAGAACCGCTATAAGATTGGAAGTTATGGTAGCCCACATGGAATACAACTGCAGATAAGCAAGCGCTGCCCGCCTCGGCCTAACTCATTCCAACGCTTTCCATCGGGGCAAATATGGCACCCCAGCTGAGATGGGGGAAGCATCCTCGATTTCGCGCTATCGTGCCACTACACAAACAAGTTTCAACCGACGCGTAATGCTGTATATTGCACTGAAAGTTCCTGCCTGCAGCACAGTATTCCAACTTGAATTCCTCAGTAGCTTGGCTTTTTCTGATGAAAAATAAATTGAATAAACAGAAATCTCATTTCAATTTCCAACGATTCAGCTAGGTATACGACACATTTAAACTGTTTTGGTTTGAAGAAAGGAAAGTGCCCAATCGCGTCGATCTACGTCATGGGTGCCGTTAGATAGAGCTCGAGTAGTAGAATAAAAACCATTACCTCTTATTGGTATAGTATATCCAAATTTTTTTTTAGAGAGATGTCACTGAAGTATACAAGACTACCCATACATAAGTCCAGTATCCTCTCTGCTGTCATCATATCTCAGCTTGGAAGAAAGAAAAATTGCTGGCCGTATGCAAGCATCCGGCTTCTGAACCAACTGAGACCGAAACAAAATGCCTCGTCGATTTTCATAGTCAGGATGGCTCCCTTGTAAGACATTGAGGAAGCATAACATTATCATTCCCAAACGGTTCTGAGGCATTGTAAAAGTCCGATGGCTAGAGACGGAGTACATTTCTCGAAAGAGGGAGCTGGAGCAGTCGGATTGGTATCATGAAGGAAATGGAGCCTTTTTTTATGGTTGTAAATGGGGCAAGGGATCACGAGCAAGGGACAGCCACTGCGAGCAGCTTTAGATCGCCGCGTACTGGTATGCAGGAAAGGCAGGGAAGAGTGAAGTGTTTCTACGCGAATGCACGCAGCTTACGTAATAAAATGAACGAGGTCAGGGGGAAGGCACTGGACAACAGTTTGGATGTCATCGGGAGAGACTTGGGGTGGCTCTCACATTTCGGATAAGGAATTCGAGATTGAAGGGTACGACATCTTGCGGAAGGATAGGCCCGGTGGTAAGGAGGAGGAGCCATGTTGTACGTTAGAACCCACACGGCACAGTGATATTCCAGGGATGTCCCTAACTGGACGCCCTGGTCTTTATAGGATATCCTGAAGACATCTTTCGGATAGTTTCGAACATCTCGTAAGGGATGTCTTCAGGACATCTAAGAGACGTCTTTTAGACATCTTCAGTCGATATCTTAGAGATATCCCTTTCCGGATATGCTTAAGACATCCATAGTCAAATGCTTCTGGATATCCTGGAGGGGGTAAGACATCTTCAGTCGAACGCTTTTCGATATATTGAGGAGGATGCCTTAGGGACATCTTAGGGATGTCTTTAGGAATCTTCAGTGCTCTCTGTCGCCTTCGGTCAGGTGCATAGCTTCGACGGTAGATGTCTTCCGTGAACCCTGATCTGCAACCTCAGATCTTTTCTATCAAATTCATCTACTTGATTTGTCCTGAGGATAATTAAGGATTTTCGTACCGTACATCAGGAAAACTGCCATCAGGGAAAGTGAAAAAAATGCCGTCCGAATTTTCATTTATTCCGCTATATTTTATTTAATGATGTTATTGATAGTTATTGAATGAGGGCGGGGGAGGAGAGACCTCTGCAATTTGGGTGGCGACCGTCAACACTTCGCCGACCTATAGGAGCAGCCTGCTCTTACCAGCTGAAGCCCAAGTCATTAAGCCCATTATCTGAACTCCATCACGGACTACCAAAACCACCGACGTTGAATTCGATATCAATTCGTTTGTGTTTTGTCAGAAATAGCATTCTGAATACTCCATGCTTGGAGTATTCAGAGAAAGCTCGTGTGCTTTCACAATTTTCGAGTAGCAAAAGCCCTTCGATCAATACACTCGGTCCTCCGCTAGAGCTACTTCGTTTACTTTCCAGCCTTCCTGAAAGAAAACACTATGACACAGATCTCTTCCTTTTCTTGCAATTTTATTTCACCTTAACGCTTTCACTAGACATACAACGGTATTCTTCGAAAATGATAGTCGAGAAATGTTCTGCATACTAATAGCCTATAGGATAGGAGTACAGATTATGAGGTAAGCACCTCCAGGCTTTCCCATAATCGATTCCATAGTAGATTTAAATGAATGAATAAATGAGTCGGATCGGGGGAAAAATGTTTTTTGTCAATCACGTTGGTTGTACGACAGCAAACAAGCATATCATCAATCAAATTCCTTGTAGGCACTGATCCGTAATAGCACCAAATTGCAGTCGCCTGGATTCCAGCAAATTCGTCAGTCAGCGGAAATACATAGTTCCCGGTGATGTAGAATGTCAATACATTTTTGGTACGAGGACCATACATGACAATAAATAAATACGCTGGAAAAAGTAGCGCAACACTCTTTTCTTTTTTCGAATATTAAGTAAGTATTGTTTCGAAGAGGAACTTATATGAACAGATTCGGATAACTAGGCTATTCGATGTGATACATGGCACGTATAAGTTGCTGAACTGACTATCAAACCCAATGGTGAAAAGTAGGATAGGTCTTGCTTTGACGATGGAAAGGTACTTCACTTGGAATTCTCCAATTCTTGCTCTAGTCCGTTGATAAAAAGCCTGGTTTTTATGGAACCCACAGATCTAAAATTTCCCTGTAGGAGGAGCAATTCATCATATCTGTCCTTGAACTACTCGGTTCTCCAGGTGAGATGAAGAAAATTATTGCCGTAAAATGGGGCCTTTATTGTTGGTGGGTGATATCGGAGTCAATCAGGTCGTGAAAGCTCAGTATCTGTTCCCTATCGCAACTACTCAACATCTCATGCCTGAATCAATCGCCGACTCCTAATGTCCATCCTGCATCTGTCCAGAGGGTACTCTCTCCCCATCTGCCAGAATCCAACGACTGAGGTAAAAAGATCAAAACGGTTAAGGTAATGTGTAGGAAATGACTACAGTCTCAAATATGGCCGCATGTGAGCTTTGGCAACAACGGCTCGCAATTCCGAACGAGTCCGACCTAAAAGTCCAATTTCAGCCTAAAAACTCGACTTCTCTCTATTTATTTGCTGCAATCACGCATTAAACTGAAGCGCGTTGGATATGAAATTGAAGCTGTAAGAGCTGCGTCTTATGTTATTAGTTTCTTTTCAGATCGATCCTGTGAGAGCGGCGATACGTGGGATACACAGTGTTGCGGTACTTTTTTCTGTCAGCACAGGTCGGTAAAGCGTATCATACCGAAAATACTGTTCGTGAAAAAATACTCTTCCACTTGTTACAGAATCGCATTGTGCAGTTCAGCAATCTTTCTGTAACAGACATCAGTAACTGCAAAACTTAGTGAAGGTTATCACCCTGGTGGCCTTTGATTCATTCGAAAGTAACATTAAGACAAAATTTGGACCGGGTAAATTTTGCGTACTTGGGTATGTTGGCGGCCCTCCCTTGCTGATCAGCAAAGAGAAAGTAATTTCATGCACATGGTGAGGTATGTCCCACTTGGAGAATGGGACGACGTTATCAACAGGAATGTGTGCGCTGAGTTCTCTTTCAGGAGATTTTGAACTTTTCGTTGCTACTGGGAGCACTTCGAACCAGTTTCAATCCAACCATGTCAGATCAGGTCATACGTCGTTATGCGTCACATTTCAAGTTGGTCGTTCTGAAACTGGAATATGCAATGTACCATGCTGCATACATATTAAAATCCCCTTACGCTCAAGGAACGAACATGAATATGCAGCACGCATAGCCATTGTAGAAATCACAGGTATTGAACCTCTATCCGGTGGGGTATAGATCATACAATTTCAATGGAGATAAAGATCACGTGAAGCATGTGTATAGAAAAATACCCCTAATTTTGCCGCTTCTTGCTTGCCCCGTGCGCCTAGGCGCCGAACCCAAGGGGGCAAAGGGGCACGTGCCCCCCCCCCCCAACTATTAATATATTATTGAGGGGGCAACGCCCCCCAAGAATGCCCAAATTTCAACAAAAGTATGGCACATGGAAAATTGAAAAAAAAGTGCTGCTTCACGAAAGAAATGAAAAATATGATTTTTCTTGCTTAGAGCTCCAACTGGGGGAGATCCCTGTCTCATGTCATGGAAGGGCCATGTTATTTCAGGGGCATTAGAAACTTGCTCCCCGATATTTTTTAGAAGTCGGAGCCTATGCTCGTGCGGTAGCATTAAGATGGACTGGGACGTAGTGAAGGGGAGGGCTGGAGGGTCTTCATGGAAAGTGCTCTTCAAGAGGGGGAAAGTTATATTCATCCCGCTCAATCCGAATTCATTCTGTTTCATCCGGTTTATTATTTTCTCCGTTCGACTTACATTCAAAGGGAGTGGGGCATTCAGTGCCCCTGGCTATGTCTGGGGTTATGTTTCATCGAGTCAATCTTGAAATTGATGCGTGGTTTTCTGAGGGATCGGGGTGTCAGATGGCGATGCGCATGGCCATCGATAGGCCAATCGAGATTAAATTGGACCTCTCCGAAAATACTACTCACGAGTGAAACGCGAATGTGAACTGAGAGAGTGGGAAGTTCTAGGAAGAAGGATCATATTGCACTGCGATTTCTTAACATTGGAGTCTAACGTTACACGTAGAAGGCGCTATCGCGCCTTTAAATTCTGCATCTTGTAAATCTCGTACAGCTCAAAGCGATGAGCATTGTCGTCAGCTGGGACATATCACCGTCTCTTTAACTCTTTCTCTGGAAAGAGAAAGAGTTAAAGAGACATGTCAGCTGATATGTCTCCCATATGGTGCCAAACCCGCAAGCATCATAGCAGGATGAGTTTTTCATCACGTAGATTGGTTTCAGTTCAACTACAGTCGTTCCTCGGAATTTGTTCGGTTGTAGTTGCAGACAACTAGAACTACGACCAGACTATGCTCAATGTGGTTGTTGAAATCTGCCTGTTTCAGTTTGAGAGAGAGGTCGATCATCCGACTATGGTCCAATGGAAAACTGGTGTAACCTTCACACCCAAGTTGAACTGTCGTTCAACTGTTAGTGGATAGCGGCCCTTTTAGGACCTCAGATTTGTTCAAGTTGCGATGAAACTGAAGATGCTAGTTAAAATAGAGGAGTTTCAGTTTCTTAGTTCCGCATTGTCTGTGGTCCGAGAGGGGTTCGAACCCAGTCTCACCACAGTCTTACCGCGATGAAAAAAATTGCCAACCCAGACACGTGCAACTCTCGTCAGACTATGGTTCTCGAGACCCACGTGAACGAATCTTCAACAAGAAAGGAATCAAAGACTGCAACTGAACTACGACTGTGGCAGAATTAAAACTCAGCATCTAATTTGAAACCGGCCTAGGCATCTTCGGTTTTGAGAGAAATGGGGCTGTCCATGTTGAGGGAGATTGTGGCTTCTGGCTCTTTGGCATCCTCCACTCTGTTCCATGGCTGCTCATTTCCAGAGCTGAAGATGGTGTAAAAGACGAACTCGAATAAGTATATTGCAGTCGTGATGAAGAAGATAATTCGCCACTGGTACACTGACGTCTGCAATAAAAGCATAGGTTCTTTAATTATTAGCTGAAGTGGACTAATATTGTTATATTAGTGTATTGTTATATAACTCACATCTCCGTGTGTTATGGCGCCAACGATTATGGGCACGGTGATTCCGGGTATGGTGGCCATCGTGTTCGTCAGGGCCATCAGTGTTCCTGTTACGAACGCAAAATAGTCATGTCTCAACCCAATGGTCACCGAGGAATGTTACCAGCCATTTATCGCGACATACCGGCAAAATTGGGTGCAATGTCGATGTGGTTGGATAGGAAGCCACCGTACATGCCAGCGATGCAGCTGACGCCAATAGTGAGGAGAGTAACCGCCGCCGCACGATTGCAGCCCATGTACGTCACCAACGCCAGGCAGATCCCTGGTCCCAAAGAAGCTGAAAGTGGTACGATAAAAGCAGATGTTTGGGTCATCAGGCATATGTCAGACGAGCCTTCATTTACCCTCTGTTTACCTAAAGAGCAGACCCCAAGAAGCAAAAGCTTGAAATTTTCCAATACCCTCGGTTTTGTTTTATTCCTCGTCTTTTATTCTTTTGCTCTCTTTTTATTTACGAAGACCTTTATATTCTTTGAGACTCATACCAAGACCAGTGGCAATTTTCTTGTAGACGGTCGTAGACACGAGCTGTCTGTCTCTCAGGAATGTTCCCAGGTACCCGAAGGCTATGCCAAACAACCACATGATGAAGTATGGAAGAGCTGACAGGAGGGAATTCTGTAAAAATAAAATAGTAATAATAATAAAATAATTTGTTTTTCGTTTGAATCTAAAAGAGGTTTTTCAGAGTCTGAAACTACTCTACAAGGATTGTCGTACCGATTTGATGTCGAACCCAAGGACTTGTTTCATGAAAGTGGGAAGTTCAACGAGGAGCATATACCATCCCCAGTTGTTGCACATGTGGGCCACCATTATAGCGTAGAATGGCATGGACGTGAATACGCTTCTCCAAGGAACTGAGATATTCCTCTTCTCCTATACAACCACGGACAAATCCATGGACATTATTTCCCATTTCTTTTGAAAAAGCATATTTTGGACGGGGAAACAAGAGAAAAAGGAACAGAACAACATTCCGTTTGCCAGGCAAGGCTCTGCAACAGCCTCGGAATTATGCTGCATTGTTTATGAGCAGAAGTTCGTTCCAGAGCGTTAGCTTCATGGATATCCGCATATTTGATTCTGCCGCTGGGGTCCACTATTCATTTCGCCTCTGCTTCAGGTTTTCAACTTTGCCAGATCTTTACTCCGAATTAGTGCGGTTCTCTTCGTTTTCGGAGTCAATTCCCATCTTGCAAAGCCAGTGGTTAAATGTCAGGCTTTTGGCCTCACTTGCTTTGCGGAAGATCAGAAAAACGAGCTCTGTTTTTGCGTCAGTTTCTCATGAATAGATGTGATCCTCCTCCGAAAACTACTCAGCATTCTCACGGAGAAATGCGGTGAGTGGGGAAACGGATTCGTTTTCTGGCTCTTAGATTCATTGGTATTTGAGGTGCATCAGGATATCGATTCTCCACTGTCGAATATGCAGAAACCGCGCAATTTCGTCCCCATGGCCAATATTTGCGTCATTGGAGATCTGATTAAGGAAAATTCCATTTGTGTATCCTATAATATGATTACTTGTGACGTTCAGCAGATTGGGATTCTCAGATATGGGACGATGATGAAAACGGCGGGACGAGTTCAATGGGATGAAAACAGGAGGGGAAATGGGGCTCCCAATACTGGAAACTAGCTTAAATTGCTCAAGTTCGACTCCCCCAGATTAGAGGGACCTCGTCAAGATACATTTTCTTTCTTCTATTCTATAGATGAGGGTTGCCATTCCTCTAAGCTCTTACACAGGCATCATCTGCTCGGACAGCTGACAGGCCCGATTACCTTTTCCTGTACGATGATTGCCGAGATATCCGAGTCCTCAGGCATTTTATGAGACTATATTTAGGTCAATCGACCCAAAAATTCATCTCCAGGCACATTGTATCTTCCCTTGCATTGATGAACGGTCTATAAAGTATTTTTTACTGATGAGAAAATTTATCTCTCTTCTTTGCAAGGGTATATGAAAAACCGATAAGAATGACGGATGCGAGGTTGGAATATTCCTTGCAGTTGTAAACCTCACAGTGCCAGCGCTGACGGTGGCCTTCCCGATGGACTTGCAGATGTATTCCTTCTCGTCATCGGAAATGAGCCGGTGAGTCGTGGGTTCGTCTGTGACTAGTAGTAACCACAAGAGGTACCAGATTACTCCCAGGCTACCTTGGATGTAGAAGACAGATTCCCACCCAAGGTCAGACGCCATGATGCCTGACAGCGGTAAGGATATCACCGTTCCCAGGGACATCCCTGCACGAGAAAGGTGAACATGTGTATTTTTGAAAATCAATCGCCTAATAGTATGATGTCGAGCATGCGAAGAATGGGTTAATACCAGCGTAGACGATAGCAGAGAGAGTGGATCTCTCCACAGGTGGAGACCAATGTGCCAAAAGAACATGGGTGGCTGGCAACGTCACGCCCTGGAAAGAGGCCAAAGAATACCTCTTAACCTATACAGCTGCATCTACTCCACGAGTGAGTGACCTTTTCGCCAGATTCCATTTTTTCTTTTGAAAAAAAAGTTTGAATTCATTCCAGTCGAAGACAATTCCCAAACGTCGTTCCGACTGACTCTGACCCCTTCAAACTGTATTTGTTTATTATTCTGTCATCTGGCACATATTGGGTCCAAGATGAAGAAAGCAAAGCAGTCACGGTCACATGTGCTTACCCCTCCGAATCCTTCAATGATTCGTAGCAGAATGAGCCAAGGATAACCGCCTTTGGAGGCAATTGGCGAAAACACCGTGCCCAAGATATTGAGCATGACTCCAAGCCCGAAAAGGTGTTTGGCACTAAACATCTCCGACAGCCGCCCTCCAGGTAATTGGGTCACGATGTAGCCCCAGAAATAGGCTCCCAAAATGTAACCTTGGATGTGCGAGTCCCATTCGAAAGGTCCATCCTAGAAATAATGGAGAGACTATTTTAAGTTCTCACTCCAAAATGAGTGCAAAGTCTGTGATCGATCTTATTTGTTGACGCACGTCAGCTGAAGTGTCCTTGGTGACATTGTCATACCCGGCATCGCATTCGGTTGCATTGTGATGAACTTGAACATGAGCTGTCTTTTGAGTCACGGCCGTGTGATTCACCATGACCACAATGGCTACACTCAGATTGACCTTCAAGCCATAGACGATGGCGTGTCCGAGGGAGTTCAAAGCTGCTAGGAGGTAGCGGATCGGGATCACACCTGTTCAGAATGAACATTTTATTTAAAAAATGGATCGAACATGGTCACATTGGGCACGTGAGGAAGTGAAGTCATTGTAATTCTTTTTTTATCGCTGCTGAATATAGGCCCCTGGAACTGGCCCAGAAGAGTCAACCTGCCAAAATTCGAGCCAGATGAAGAGGCTTCAAGACCCATAATCGATCCTTGACTGGAACATCGGAAACACGAATTGCTCATTCAAACCCTGATTTTTTTTTCAGTCCTTGAAATGACTAATAATAATAATAACTCCTGATCGCTCCTGATCCATTTCATCCGTCGACAGACGTCTATAATACTTGGCTTTCTCTGTTCGAGGTTAGGCTGCCTCTGTTAATGCTCATTGTCCCTCATTTTCTTCTCAGCGAGCACTAATGCGTCTGGCCTGGCCATAACCTTAAAATAGTCCGCTACAAGAAATTCTTAAGCTTCAACGAAAATTATTATAGCGTTTAAAAGACGAAAGATGAAATATGAAAGATGCCCATGAGGATTCTCCTTTGGCATTTACTAACAGGAGAATCGATAGGAGTAGTGCGAGGGTCGCTCCGAAAGTTTTGAGAATCAGTCATTTTGAACAGAGCTTCAAGCTTTATTATTTCCCAGATTCTGCGTGTTTTGAACATCGCCTGCGGCAAATTTGAGCTCTGTGCCTTAATTTCGTTGCCCCTAAGCTAAATTTTTGCAGCAAAGGTTACCAGCCCCAGATAGCCTCTGTTGACCCAGTATCCGCCCTGGAATGATGAGGTTTCAAGCACATCATCTTCCACTGCATGAACCAAGGTTTGCAACCAAAGGACGTTCTCTCTGAGGTGCAAGGTGCTCTGAGGGACCAAGCACCATTATTTGCCACCATGGATCTCTGGGGTCCACTTCTTCGGGTCCGGTCAAGAGTCCTTTCGAGATAGCACCATATCTGGCTGCCCACAAAACGTAAGTCACAAGCAAACGTGTGAAGCTGTGCGAAAGCTAAAAGAAGAATATTGTCGCACGACCAATGTGTAGAATCAGCAAACATTCGGAATTGGTGTGCATGCAGTCCACACCGTTCTTCGAGAGAAACCGAAGATGAGGAACGTCTGTTCCAGATGGGTGGCAAAACGGTTCATCGGCCGACTCGACCAACGGTTGGTTCATCGAGCCAAGAGACCACCCTGTTTCCCTTTTCATGATTGTGGAATTTAAGACGGGCAGTTTTGGTGAGTGACAACGTTCCCACAAAGTGGCAGACCCAGATGTGGATCTTCAAATAATTGGTACCACCCATTGGGTTCGAACGTTCCAGGAGTGCTGGGAAAAGCATGTTTGCCAGGTTCTTTAAAAGTGGTGGCATGCTGTTTTAGTAAGATTGGTTAAACCAACGTACAGTGAATTCGGAATTTTACAGCAGCCAATAAATGCCTCAAATCTTCCAAGACCTAAATCTGACCTTAGACGCCAACTTAGTAGCGGATGCTGCGACCGTGACGACGCTTCTTTACACACCTACGCCGCAACTGGTTGCGGTCAGGACAATGGCATCCGTGTGTTCCCTAATACTTCCTACTCCCATGATCTAGCTCCTTGTGACTTCTGGCTCTTCCTCAGCATGAAAAACTCCTCAAGAATAATTACCGCTACACAAAACATTTATCGTACTAAATGACACGTTCAAGTCAGCTAAGAGACAAGGGCTTCTAGCACGAGGGGAATTCCAAAAGTTCGAGAAACATCTTTATTCGCATTATTTAGGTCTTGGAAGATTTGAGGCATTTATTGGCTGCTGTAAAATTCCGAATTCACTGTACGTTGGTTTAACCAATCTTACTAAAACAGCATGCCACCACTTTTAAAGAACTGGAAGAAGCCGTCAAGCTGGTTTGCAGGCCTTCGGCAAAAATGACTATTTAACATGCTTCCAGAAGTGTCTCATGCGCATGCATTCATGTGTTGACCACAAGAGGCAATACTTTGAAAAGCTGTAAAAGCGTATTGGTCATGCGAATAAAGATGTTTCTCGAACTTTTGGAATTCCCCTCGTGCTAGAAGCCCTTGTCTCTTAGCTGACTTGAACGTGTCATTTAGTACGATAAATGTTTTGTGTAGCGGTAATTATTCTTGAGGAATACCTATTTTGATTTCTTTATGTGGAATGTGAATAAGATAAATTTTGAGGAGATACGAAGTGAGAATATGGCGACTCCTCTCCATTCATTCCTCTGGGATTTCTCCTATTTTCTTATCTGTAACAGTGGTGGCAAGCCAAATCATTCCTTGGAGAATCCAAACACCCATCTTATCTTAGTTTTCTCAAGACTTATTATTTTCATACATATGTGTTCCAACCTCCCGCCTAAAATCAGCTTGGATTCTAGGCTTGTCCTTATCGCAATAGCAGGCCCTATTAAGACACTTATTAATTATGACACTTAATAGGATACTTATTATGGCCCTATTATGTTACGCAGCTCTTCGTGGCTCACCGAAGGCCCTTTCTTACAGCAGGCCTAGGACATGAAGTCAGTCCCTCTTGAAATGAGCGTTCAAGGTTGAAGTAGGCTAATCAGACACAGGACGACGTTTTTGTGGTACAGGTGATGGAGGGTCCATGGCATCTGCGAGGTACCTTATTTATTAAAATTCAGGAATAAAGGATACGAAATACAAGGAGACTATGGCAGGTAACGAGTGGGCGACTTCCAGGCTTCTCACGCCGCTTGCCTCGTTTACCCATCAGTGCATCCCACAGGTCTTTTTACGTCGTCCAGCTCTCGGTAACTTCTTACATCGGCCAGTTCAAAGATTCATTTTCCTCCAGTCTGTTCAAAGAAAGGTTGAGGAGTTCTCTGGAAAAGGGGCGTATGTGCCCATACGCCCTTTTTCCATATCCTTTGGGTGAATAGTCATAGGATAGGGTGGTCAGCCAGTAGTTAAGATGCGTACTCAGTAAAGGAGAAGCAGATTTTCCTATGCTCTCACTAAATAGCAGGCCAACTACCAAGCAATTTCGATATGGCTGCCTCCACGAATATTCCATTAGCACTTGCATGCTGAACGATTTGGTGGAATTATTTCGTTGTTTTAAACTGAAAGTGAAAATGAGGAAGAAATCAGACATGAAGAAAGGGAAAGAAAGAGGCCCAGTCATTTAAGCCTCTGGAAGGATGTGAGAAGTTGAGTTGGAGATATCCATGAAATGAAGAGTGATTCATGTTGAAGATTCAGTCATGTTGAAGATTCAGATGATGAATACATTAATAATGGATCACTGCAGCACAGTAATTGGTGAATGAAACGTGTCCTGACTATTCACATTTTCATTACTATTTTTCAAGAAAGAGTTTATTTGAAATCTGTAGATACATTTATTGATTAATTATTATTTTTAATTAGAAAGAAGTGGTGAAAGACTCGTTGGAAAAAGTTTCAGCAACGCGGATATGGAAAAAGGGCGTATGTGCATGAACACTTTCTGCCTGCATCCCAGCAATGTGAGATAAAGAAATTCGTTCAAACCCCAAGTTCAATTGGAAAAAGTCTAAGATATCATTTTACTGATAATTAAGTTTTGACCAGCTTCAGATTAGCTATGGGAAGTTTTTATCGTTTATCTCGAATTGCATGTTTTGCACATACGCCCTTTCTCTAGAGAACTCCTCAATTATGCAAGACGGTACCGGATTGAGTCAGCCCACCATTTCGATCGATCCTTAGGAGCAGAAGCTGATGCAATCCTATACGAGTGCGGATCATGTTCCATCTGGATGGCATGGTCTATAACACATCTATGGACACACCCACTTCTATTGATTTCTGAACCCTCTCCCTCCCCCCTTCGCCCTTGAAATTTTTATCCTTCGTCTGCTGCCATTTTAAATGTGAGATCATCAACTGGTTCCATTCCATGACATTCCCGCTCCTCCCCCTCCCTCCTTTGAAAACTGCTGAGGTCAATGAATGGTCTGAAATGACAAATCTGTGGAGACATCTAAATCAAGGTTATGCATAAAAGCAGAGTCAGATCAAAATTTAAAAAAAGAACAGGACCCCACAGCACTCTCGTGTGCGAAATTGGACAGCACTATGAGGACAACTACATGCTCATAGCGTTTATACCCGGATAGTGGTGAGCACGTTTGGATGATCAACAATCCGGAATACACGTGAATCCCTTCAACGGTTTTACCATTCTTTCGCGATGAGGTGTTCATGAGATAACAGACTACTTTCATGAGGAGTGCAGAAGCCTTCGCTTCTCTATCGAGTCTGGCTCAATACATTTGAGGAAAACGGATAAGTAATTCAATTCATACCTTACGATTTTTCAACTGGTGCATATGGGTCCTTCTGTTCGCACATGGAATAGAAGGGTAATATGGCAAGTATTCCATGTGTTTGCAAGAGTAACAGCATACAAATACCTGTAGTTGCCTGTAAAACCGCCAGGGAGGCGGTTTATTATATGAAGAGCATTTGTCTCATGGGCGTTCAGAAGAGAAACTAAAGTCGGTTTGTGTGTCATGGCACGTAACTTGGAGTTGCAAAAATTAATGCTTTTTTTTACCTGCTGCTTCTGAAACAGTTTCCGAACTTCGGTTGTTAGCACTGTCCAAAATTGCATGAGCAATTTTCAGTATTAGCTGGCAAAACCGATTCCTGGTCCCGGCCAGTCCTAGAAAGAGTTGGGTGCAATCACCCGTCACATTACTTGCAGTTGCCAGCTCTCTTTCTAAATAATAATAATAAAGTCTCAGTACATCTTTTAGGCTCGGAAAATATACCTCAAAATCAGAGACCAGAAATTTTACATTTCTGATCTCTGACTTTAAATGCCATCTCCTTCTCATGAATTTGCTATGAAACAATCGGCATCGATCTGGATGCATCGTCTTTTAGACCTCAACTTTTAGTCTTGCCGGGAATCGAATGTATATAAATGCAACAAGTCTCATGCAACAAAATCGGCGTTTGAAGTGCTTTATAATAAAAAAAATATGGCCAAAAATTCCCAGGTTTGGACAGGAAATCTTTATTGGAAATCTATTTCTTTCCCTTGTAATATTATAGACAGGTCTCTCCTGTTGATGGATAGGAGGACCGGTCGTTTTGCCCATGGGGGAAATATTTCGGGTCTAAACCGGGGAATTTCTGCCTTCTGGACATTATTTATTACGGTG